TCTACTTTCTATCACCTTTATTTTTTGTTCATTTCTCTCAATTGTTTATTGTATTTCACGTATTTTGCTGTCTACTTTATGTATGTCACCTTTTATATCTACGTGATTTTGAGTTATAGATTACTGCATTTTAGTCATCGTCTCCTGTATCTCCAGTGGAGTTGATTGTATCATCTGCATATTGGATATATTTCCTGATTTTTCTGTGCTCAGCATAGACCTCTGTCCTGAAGGTGATGCTGTTGTCAGGGTGGGATTCGACTGTGTCTTCTTTCCTGTCCTTAAAGTAGTTGCTGTTGTGGTAGTCATTCTTAATTTCTTGTGTAAGTTTTCCTACTCTATCCTCCACTGTATATTTGGTTTGGTTTTTTTTTAACTCTCTAGCAATATTATAAACCACAAACTACTTAAACACTCTTGAAATCTGTGTTGTCCAAACACAGTCAATACTGACTTACCCAAAAGTGATAATTGGGAAATTAAACAGGGATCTGGGTATTCTTTGCAATTCTGATGCCAATATAGATTTATATAAAATTGAACATTTAAAAAAAATCCTTAAAGAGGCAAGACAAAACAACCAAAGAAAAATAAATTAGCCAGAAGGTGGCCTAGTAATTAAGTTCCAGCAGAACCTTCCTAAAATGCTACAAATTTCTTGCATAACTACCACTGAACACAAAATCTATAAATCAAAGGAATTTGCAAGTTTTCTCAAAACAAAGGTTTCTAAATCACAATGAGATATGACATCTCATATTATGGCAATATCATTATCTGAATAGAATTTTCAGAGAAAGATACTCTGAAGTTTTTTGGGTGGGGTATTTTTTGGTTCTGCTTAAATTTCTATCCTGCTTCAATATCCAGTTATTGAACCAAGCTTACCAAATTGTTTCGCGAAAAAAAGTAAATCTCTCTAGTACTAGCCTGTAGTTATAGCCAGTACAGTGTACTATGAGAGGTCCCTCAAATAACTTGAACATTTTGGTAGGAGAAAAAAACTCTAGAGGAAAGATCAATCTCTGGACAAACCAGAAATTCTGCAATTCTCTCTGTTGAAAATCTCCTCAAAGATACTAGTGAGATTTTACATTCTCATCAGAGAACATAAAATACTTATTAAAATTGTATCTTGTGAAGCTGCCTGAAGTGTTCATAAAGATGGACTTAAACATTGTGTCCCCCAACTTCTACAGTGACTTTGAAACAATTCAGCATCATCCAGAAAATGGACCTCTAAATTCAAATACATTCCTGGCTAGACATTCTACCTCTTTCAGTATAAATCTGAATCAAATCATCTTCTGTTTCAAGGTTCCTGGAGGTTTTTTTTTGAGAGGCTACTGGGAAGTTGGAAGTTCTCCCAAACTGCACCCAAGTGCCACTTTTTGTCTTAAAACACCTAACTCTTTCCCCTGCCCAATAGAAAGTGAGTGGGCAGGGAAATGCAATATGCAACCAAAATCATATTTACTGGATTGTGAATTGTATTTCAGAGGCTGAAATCTGCCATTCAATCTTTAGTAACAATGTGACATAGCACTACTTTATTTATCTAATGATATCCTTGTACCTGAAGGGAACATGTTTCAGGATCTTAAGCAGGGGTGGGATTCAAATTTCTTAACAACCGGTTCCGTGGGTGTGGCCTAATTTGTGGGTGTGGCTTGGTGGTCACATGGCTGACTGGGTGTGGCTTGCTGACTGGGTGTGGCTTGCTGACAGGGCATGGCTTGGTCATCACATGACTGGCTGGGCGTGGCTTGTATGTAAATATTGTAAATATTTATGTAAATATTGAATTTTTTATTTTTTTAAAAAGAGCACCTTTTACCCAAAATCAGGCAAAGCAGGCAGGCAGATTGAATTGCTCGCAGAATCACAGATTCACTCAGAGATCTACCTTTTGGCAATCTTCTACCTGAGTCTGCATTGAAAAATAGAAGCTTCAATCCTAAGGAAGGTTCAGCTCTGCTTTTAAATTAGCTAGCTTTTAAATTAGCTAGAAAGCAAGAAATCCAACGATTTCCTGATTTCTAGCTAATCTAAATCTCCCGGCACAGTTGATAGTCAGAACAGCTGATGGTCAGGAGGAAAAAAAGGAAAAATAGCAACTTACCAAAAATTAGGCAAAGGCACAACACAGGCAAGTTGGATGGCACGCATGCCAGGTAAGGAGTGAGTGGGAGGGGAGGGGCCAGCCAGTAGCATGATTTGCCGGTTCTCCGAACTGTGCAGAATTGTAACAACCGGTTCTATAGAACCGGTCCAACCAAGTATAGTCCCACCCCTGATCTTAAGCTTAGAACTGGCAAGAGAAGAAAGGAGAAAAGGCTTAGAGAAAAAGCTCCACAAATTTTCTTGATGTCAAACTATTTTATTTTACTGGAAAGAGTCATTACTTAAAATATTATCTGAGGAAAGCATTTTCTTTTAGATCCAAAGCAATATAAGTTGTCCTCAGCTTGCTATTGATGCAAACCTTGTTAAAAGTTCCTTGGTGATGAATATTATCAGAACTCTTGATCATTTAGTATTGTGGGATTCAGCAGACCAATCAAAAGGTTGCTGTATGAATGAAGGTTTTTGAATATATCAAAAACCTAATCCCTTTGGAAGAGATGAAAACCACACTTGTACAAGTTTCATCAAAAGCAATGCCTGTAGGCATCAACTGAATGTGTTCTTAGGAAGGGATTTGCTGCCTATATACCATTCTACTATAAATATTCACCACTACTAGTCACTAGTTAGCAGTGGCAAAACATTTCAAAAACAAAGAGGTACACGTTTAAACTAGAGTGCAGGAGAACATAAAACAGCTAATCATGAGAGACAGATTGGGTAGGGAGAAGCTTAGAGGTTTAATTTTAGAAATCTTAGTGATGCTAGGACCAAAGCACATAAAATCCTGCACATTGGGATGAAGTATGGGAAGTATTGCAGCTCGCCTGCAAGGAAAGAATTGTTACTTTACCTGTGTCTCCAGGAAGGTTTTTATTTTAGAAAAAGCTTGAAAAACTTACTTCTTTCTTATTTCTCACTTAATACTTTCATTAAATATATACTCTAGAGCCAGTTCTTTTATAATCGTGAAGGTGCCAATCTTGAAACCAGGTCACTTTGAGTTGTAGTAACATCTTAGATACAAAAGCCACCAGGCAATATGGAGCCAGTCTCTCTCTCAACCCAATTCACCTCACAGGATGGTTGTGGTAGAGAAAACAGAAGCTAGAAGTATAGCTAAGACAGGATGGAAATATAATAATAACAATAAAAGCAAGAATCAAAATACTTGAATAAGTCACTGTGCAGTGATAAAAAGAGGATAGAAAGACGTTTAGTCTGATTTTACAGTATAAGATCGAAGATGTCAAAGCAACATCTCTCCATTCTCTCACAGCTACCACAGATTGTAAGCAGAAGAAATAAAGGCCTTTTATTCCCCCTTCGCTCATTGTCACTCTCTGTTCTTTCTTTAGATCCAGGGCAGAAATCCCAACAACATTTAATAAGTTCATCTCTGATGCTAGCACAGACTAAAGCAAAGAAATTGAACTGAGAATATTCTGAATTTTGGGGGTGCCTTACTTTTTTTTATCCCTTTTTTCAGCAAAGGGCTGTGCTTATGTCCGTATAGAAAATGGAAGAATGACTGACTATTTGGAATATTACAAACCATTTCCAATACGGGAGGGACAAACAATTGACTTTCATTGTGATCATGGTTTTGTGCCTGCGAACCAGCAAACATGGCAAAGGGCTACATGCATCAATTCCCGCTATGTCCCAGAACCAAAGTGTTTCAGTAAGTAACTGTTTCCCTTTGCAGTAGATGTTGCCAAGTATAAACAGAACAGGCCAGGGAGATGCTATCCTGACCTTGCTTTAACCTTGAAGAAGTAGCATCCTATAGAGAATTCAGCCTGTTCTCGGGTTGCTCTGCCTGCTAGGGTGATGCTTCCACTGATGTCTCTTCTCAAGGGACCCTAAAGGTTGTTTTGGAGCCCACAGTTTGCAAACCTTAAAACCTTAAATTTTATCTTTGATAAAATTTAAACAGAAAAATAGGATTCTTCCTCATCAGCTTCTCTTCACACCTTGTCTTCTCTGTGAACTAGATATCATTTGTAGTATAAATTGCCTTCCAAGAACCATCAATGATGGAACTAAGTTGCTCTTTTTTGCTTTTAGAAATATGTGATCCATCTATACGTTTTGATCATGGTCGCATCAATTACCGTTACTACATATTAGAAGGTAACAACATTACATTTGTTTGTGATACGGGATATTCTCCTGCAAACCAACGATCAATAATTACTTGCACCAAAAAGGGGTGGTCACCTGCTCCAGAATGTATCCTGCCAGGTAAGCGTTAGGAATGTCAGCTAAAATTGCCTGACCTGAAATTACTTATCATGCTTTGCTCTCTCTCTCTCTCTCTCTCTCTCTCTCTCTCTCTCTCTCTCTCTC